CTTTTATTTTCCCATCTAAATAAGCCCACATAACGGCTTCTACTGTGAACTCAAACTGTATTAAAATTAAACAGCACACATTTGAAGTCACTAAGTAATCAATCGTATAAAAAAAAAATAGATTTTTTTTGTACATAAGTACTTGCTTTTGTGTTATCAACATAACACCTTTCTACGTATCAACTGAAAGAAAAAAATAATGTTAACGCTATTTTTTCAACCGTGATATACATAAAGAATTAGGCGTTCAAAACAGCGTGATAATTAAAAAATAATTGATGGGTTTGCAAATAAAACAACTTTTATGTAATAAAGAAATGAAATGTGTTGACAAAAAATGGCGGCCGTATTTAATTTCATGCACGTTTCGCGCGGTTAACGAAAGTGAAAAGTTGGCGGGAAAGATGAGCTGTCAAACTGTTACGTTCCATTACACTCTCGATTTCTTAATAATCAATGGCTTTAAATAAAAGTTGTTGTTGTTTTTATCGAACTCGTTATTAATATTATCAGACTTTTAATTAATCATTGTTTTAATAACTTTAATAAAAAACCATATCTTCCGACAGACCATACTTATGTAAAAGCAGAAACGACTCGATCTTCGTCGATGCGAGTAAATACACAAAATGGAATGTAGGTTATAGAATTCATTAACAGAACGTATCTATATATATAAAAATTAATTGCTGTTCGTTAGTCTCGCTAAAATCCGAGAACGACTGGAACGCTTTGGCTAATTTTGGTCTTGAATTATTTGTGAAAGTCCAGAGAAGGTTTAAAAGGTAGATAAATAAGAAAATGCTCGTAATTAAATAAAAATAAAATTTTTGTTTTTCCTTAGATGTGTCCCCCGTCGGACGGATTCCTTTGGTTTGTTTTAAGTTTATTTTATACAAAAGTTTAGGTCTTTTATTTATCGATTGAGGCACTACAAAGTCTGCCGGGTCAGCTAGTATATAATAGAATAAACACAAACAACTTTTCCAATACCTCTTTTACTTTCGTGTGAAAAGTAATCTATATAGTTGTTTTTGTTGAGTCTCCAGATGCCGGTGGCACTATTAAAATCGAATTAGTAACAGATAACGCAAACTGTGGCTCAGATTTGTTTATTTTCTGACAGGTCTGTATTTAGATCGTCGGATTTAAATAATGAGGTATTTTTTTAACCAAAATAATGTAAACAAAATGTATAGATGAAGTCGGGAATTTTAACAAAAATGTTTTTTTTTAAATCAACATTTAATTATATTTCTCATTAGGTACTAGGAAAGAGAATAAAAAAAATCTTATTGAACTTGTAATGACTGCTTTAAGTAGGTTATGCTTTCAAAGAGTTTTTTATTCATAAGAGGGGTTTTTTGCAGCTACTAAAGCATACGTCACAAATATGCAAATCGATAAATTTTGCTTGTTTTTTTTAAAATAAAACTTTTATTAGCGCGATATGAAAATAAATTGGAACTTTGTTAAGGAAATTATGTTCAAGCAGTTTTCATTATTATTTTAGCGTCTACTGATTATACATATAATAACATTTATATCAATAAAATATACATGAATATATATTCTAAAACAAATAAATTCTTTACACATTTGTCCTTGGTTCTTCATGCGTTTTTTACCTCTTTAGATCTACAATACCAGCTAAGGGTTGCCAATAAAAAAATTTTATAACACTTATTTTATCCACCATAACATGAAAAAATTCAATAAAAAAAGCAAATTAAAGATAAATAGAGATTAGAGAAGTTACAAGCTTAAAAAAACTAATTACGTTTATGACACTTTTATTAAATTACATTTATAAAAATACTATATTAGTAATAACTAGTGGTCCCGCAGTAGTCGAAATTCGACTATAATTAATTGGAATTGTAAGTTTGTACACTATTATGATTGTATTTTATACTTCTTTAATCACAAATTTCGCTAAGACTACACTATAGAAAAATATTAATAAAGACAAACAATATTTAATCTATTCTCAATTTGACAACAGACGTCAAGAACAAAAGTTTGACAATTAATAGTAAGCATGCGTGTGTGCGTCAAATACATGGTATGTAGTGTGTGTAACGTTTTCTTTATCGATTTACCGTATCTTTTATGCATTATTTCAAAAAAAAATTAGCATTGTGCACTTCTTCTCTATATTCTCTATAAGTGTGGAAAATTTCATACTCCTCAGTCCGCGAAATTTTCATAAAAAGGCATACAAAATTTTTGCTTCACGTATTAATATATAGATGATTTTATTTATGAATTAAAAAAGTTGAATTGATTTTCGAATTTCAATTGCTTACATTTTACATATAAAAGTATTTATGATGTAAATTGTTCTGAAAGGATATTTTACCGCCATTATGGGGATATTAAGTTGGGGACTGACTCGGTGGACCAGTAGTTAGCAGCCCTGACTGATGTGCCGAGAATCGTGGGTTCGATTCCCACATCGGCCAAACATTCGTATGATAAACCATTTTGGTTGATCTTTGTCTGGATATTTACTATCTACATATGTATACATTTATACGTACATAAGTATTTATGTCAGTCTCTAGTATCTATAACCCATATTTATTATTACTAGTGGTCCCGTAGTAGTCGAAATTCGACTATAATTAATTGAAATTGTATGTTTGTACACTAATATGATTCTATTTTCAAAGACTATTATACTTCTATAATCACAAATTTCACCAAGACTACAATATAGAAAAATAGAAAGACAAACAATAGTATTAAACGGTAGGCAGCGGTTTGGCTCTACCCCTGGCATTGCTGAAGTCCATGGGCGACGGTAACCACTCACCATCAGGTGGTCTGTGCGCTCGTCTGCCTACAGTGGCAATAAAAATAAATAAATAATGTGTCTACTAACTCCAATAAAAAAGATGTGTGGTGTCGTGGGACACCGGATAGGAACGAAGTTCCTTATTATAAAAATATTAATTTTAAGTTCTATTCGAGGTATAAAGAAAATAAAACAGGAGGTTTCGCAACAACCCACGGTCATTCAGTAACGTGCGAACTTATTGTGGTACTCTTCATTCACGGTTGTTTGCTCTGAGATCGTGGTCAATGAATGATAAAAAAATATGTTATTTTTTGTACGCTATTACAAAGTTAAGTCGTACACTGTGTGCATTACTAATAAAAACCTTACGTTACGGACGATTTTTCCCGCTTAGGGTACCCTCCGCATCGTCCCATACGTTCCAAAAATAGATCTTTCGACCGACAATTATTTAACATCACTGCGGACCGCTAGCGCCGTATTTCATTTGTCAATACGCGGACCTTATATAAATGAACTGGATTCATTATTATTCTTTTAAACGTGACAAAGAAAAATTATGGGTAAGTAATTTTTTCCGAAAACCGTTTGAATTCATTGGGTCCCCCCCTCCCCTCACTTATTACGCCCCTGACCGAGTCAAATGTCATTAGTAAAGAAAGCAGTCCTGTCCAATTGTGCAAATTATAGAGTGACCAACATGAACCAATTTTAATCGAATTCACACTCTCAATTCATAGCTTTAAGATCGAAATTCGTCCGAGGAGCTCTATCATAGACCAATAACGGAGATTTTGTCACCAACGAGATAAAATTTCAAGTATTTTGATCGTTGTGCCATTAAAGATAAGCACAAGAATTGTGTAATTATACGATCACTTAAGTCGTTATGGTTTTGCACTTGCTCGTGTTTTGGAAAGCTGTAGCGAAAGTTGGCGCCTTACAAGACTTGTAGTACGTACCTATAAAGCATGATACTTGAAGTAATTTAATATTTAATTTGATTGGAAATGTTTAGCGGTTAATTAACTAGACGTGCCTTGCGGCTTCGCTCGTATCCATTTTATTTATTAAAAATTATACAATTTAAACATTTATTTTTGCCGGGATAAGAACATTCTGTGAGACTCTCTGGTCCATAAATCATCCATTTAACATTTATTGATCTATTTCCGGGTGAAAAATGGAGAAAACAACAAAATCGTATGGTCCATGGCGAGTGCTTTATGGAATTATATGCAACGATTTGATCATCTCGTTTTTACCATCGCACCCATGCCACCAGAGTGGAGTTCATCCATACTACCTAGAACCATCGCGTTCATCCACAGTTCGCTTCCAGAGATTGAAAAGAGATTTCATTCCATTGCAAAATGAGCTCTCCTCAACGGTGTTTTCCGAGCACTGACATGTCTTTCTTCAAACGAGGCTTGTGAAGAGTACTTAACGGTAGCCAGCACGTTGGCTCTGCGCCTCTCCCCAGGAACTGCCGACCTCTATGAACGACGGTAACCATTCACCATCAGATTGACCGTATGCTCGTCTGACTACTAAGGTATGTAAAAACACGCTACGGGCAGTTTTTTTTTATCACAACCAATGGCCCTAAATATTTTAGACAGGAACATCTAATATTAACATATTCTTCTTCTACTGAAAAATATGTGTCATTTTTGCTAACCAAATTTACTTAGGCAACGAAAATATTTTAAGAGCATTATAGAGTTAACTAGCTAAAATTAAATAAAAATATCTAGAAGTATCAAAACTATTTGATTCGATAATTCGACTATGACAAATTTTAGGACTACTTAAGTGAATTAGCAAGTCGCACACATGTGTAAAGTTAAGAATTTTATTTACTCAACACGCACACATGTAAGCTCGTAATAGCCACTGCCATTGTTTCATTAGAACTCCGACAATAATGACGTTAAAAAAAATTACCGTCAAAGAAATATAAGGTTCCGGATGTTCAAAAACCGTTTGCCTAATACTTCAAATTAAGAAAAAAATTACCTTAAAAAAATGAAAAATAGAACATAAAAATTTAATCCGATTAATTTAAAATTTCTTCGTCAATAAATTTGTTTTGGTGGTAAAAAAAAAAAAAATAGTGCGCTAGGGAAATGTGAACACCGTGGAACCCAAGCGAAAAGTGAAAAGGTACGCAGCACGTTTTGCGGCGGCCATTTACTTCCGATTTCCATCTTCCCGCGATCACACGTCTCGGGCGTCGAGAACGAAACGTAAAAAAAAAACAACAAAAAAAAAATGTACCAGTGACAGTGCGCTAAAGAACAGACCGGATGGCGGGAAAGAATTTCAAAATTCGAAGAAGACGCGCCAATATGGCTTCCTACGTTTTGAGTTTGGTTTTTTTCGTGTGCTTCTATAACGTGTCCGCTGATGATAATGACGTTTTGACTCTAAACGACTTCGATAGTGATGTGGTCGAAGACAGAAGGAGACCGGTTAACGAACAGGAAAAGGATATTTTGTTGTTAGACGCTTTGGCGAGAAGGAAGGGCAGCTATCACGGTCATTACGGGAACTCTCAGGAGGACGATTCCATTATGGATCTCTTAGGAAAGAGTGAGTTGCTTATATTTATGTTAGCAATAACGGACTGTTCGAAGTATAATCGCTAATGTCAAATACCTAATGAAATAATTTCCCACACTTATAGAGCGTATAGAGAAGGAGTGCAGAATGCTAATATATTTCTAAATTACGTTAAAAAAATACACTAAATCAATAAAAAAAGATTACTCATTTTACTATGAATTTGTCACACATACACGCACGTCTGGAAGAGATCGCTCTTAGCGATAAGACCGCCAATTTTACTTTTTTGTATTTAATGTATCGCACTGTTTATTTGTTTTTTGGTGTACAATAAAGAATTATCTGTCTCTCTCTCTCTATCTCTCTCTCTCTCTCTTTCTCTCTTTCTCTCTCTCTCTCTCTCTCTCTCTCTCTTTCTCTCTCTCTCTCTTTCTCTATTTCTCTCTCTCTCTTTTTTTAATTTTTAAAGTCTGGTGAAATTGAGTATAGATTAATATTGTTTGTCTTTAATATTATTTGTCTACAGCGTAGTCTTATCTGTGATTATACAAATGTGACAATATAACCATAACAATATTCATAGTTATAATTTAAATTATGGTCGATTTTAGACCACTGGGCGACCACTAGTATATGTAAATCTGTATGTAAGTCCTAGGATTTCCATAAGACAGGGAATCCTACTTTCGCGCCAGAAGACAGTACGTAACCTATCCCTGGTCATAATAATGAATTGTCTTTTAGATATTATATAATTCTGTAATCATTTACGGACTATTCGACTTTGTAGATCACTTTGCTTTAAAGATAATATTTAGAGATTTTTTTTAATTTGCTTTAAAATTTAAGAAATACCTCAGTAATTCCTAACGAAATGGCTAGTCAAACGCGTTGTTAGTTTAACAGTTGGACAATCCACCAGCTGGAGTTAAGTGTTTACCGTAGGACCTATGGCTATCACAATGTGAGCGTGCCTTAACAACTTTGGGTTTGAGATCGAAAATTTAACGACGCCTGTCAAAGTTGAAGTTCATGAAAATTGTGTTTTTTTTTTATCTATACTAATATTATAAAGCTAAAGAGTTTGTTTGTTTGAACACGCTAATCTCAGGAGCTACTGGTCCGAATTGAAAAATTCTTTCAGTGTTAGATAGCCCATTTATTGAGGAGGCTATAGGCTATATTATAACATCACGCTAAGACCAATACAATGCATGCGCGGTTAAGCTTTCGCTAAAAATTAAATAATGTATGACAGAATTGTTCCCCTTTAAAATATCTAAAAAAAAGTCCGCGAGAGCATGTCTATATGTTAAAGTTATAACGTTTTTTATGCTAACCAAATTTGTTCTAAAATAAAGCATTATTTGTGAACTGTTCCACGCGGACGAAGTCGCGGGAAGAAGCTAGTTTAATATATGGCTCCAACGCCTTAGTCATTGATTTTGCCAATGTCACAGTATAAACTAAAATGACTGGTCCTTAGAGAAAAAAACAGTCAATACAAATAAACCTTATCAGTTTTTCCATACGCGAGTCTGTGATTATAAGAACAGCACATATGTTATACAACTACTTTAAAGATTAAAGATTCTTAATGGATAAAAATATATATAAAATATGTACATCTTTAGAATATACTAAGGTTAATAGAAAATTAATATTAATAGGCCGGGGGAAGTTTTTTGGAGAGATATGTTAAAATATTTGTATAATTTAAAAACAAACCGTAAAATTATTAAAAGAATTTTAATGGATGTCAATAAACTAGGAATACTTATTAAAATATATGCGTAACATGCCAAGACACCTGCTAACCTAAATTATATAACATAAATATTACGTAACAAGCTCCAGCATACCTAAATTCTTAAATAAATAATAATCTTTTAATCATTTCATAATAAATTTATAATTCAATTTGTACCATATTCAAAATTACAAATTTATGGTGGTAGCATTATGAGATTTTATTTATTTATTGTTTTTTTTTTCTTTCGCCAAAAAGCTACGTATATAACGCACACAAAACGGACCTGTTAATATTTTTTGCTGTTCTAATAACAAATAGGATATGATAGATTCAATTCCAGTGATAATAAACCACTGTAAAGTATTTGGAAGTGTGTGATTGGCTCTGATCAACACGAGATTCGATTATTTCAATTTATATTGTTGATTTACTTACGGCTTTCAGAATAACTTGAATACAGGGTAGTACATTGCAGTCTCGAAACGCGATTTGAATAAAAGACGTGTGCGCTCATCGCCATAGGTCAGTGGCTCTCAACCATCACGTCGCTGGCCCCTGTCAAGTGTGTCGCGTGATTTAAAACTACCTAAACCATCTAAGCGACATCTGGAGTTAATATACTAACTATACTACTACATATAACAGATTAGTGATGTATAATTTAATGAATGTACCTTATTTATTTTATTGTAACTATCAATGATTCTGCATGAGAGTAAATTAGTCGCTAATTTGTAAAGAATGCAGTGCGTTAGGCGATGAGCAGTCGTATTAAAAAATTAAATATACATATAATATATTATATCACTTAATAGAAAGTGTGGCACACATTAAATGAAGATAATATTATTTAATAGTAATATTATTATAGTAACATAATTAACTAAATTAGGATCAATGAGATTATAATATAACATATGCGTCGCTGAGTATTTATTAACCACTAGGTTTCTCGCCGGATCTTTTCAGTAGGTCACGATTCCCATACAATATTTAATTTTGATTCTGCGAAGCACTGCTCTTGCTAGGGCTAAGTAGCTAAGTAGAGTAAAAAAGGTTGGGAATCGCTGCCATAAGTTACGAGCTATTTAATAAAATAGGGTTGTTTCTTATTCGAATTATGCCTTATATTACCACTGAACAACCAATACCAATTAAAATAAATCATTTTATAATAAGTCACAGTATTATGAAGTAAATGAATGAGTGAACGAAATCCGGCTAAATATCATTTAAAAAAATTATATATTTCACCTTTTCTCTTCTGTTTTATTATCTCCATTTATTCTCGTAGCGGTTGTCAAAAATACATTTTTCAATAATGTTTTTTTTTGATCTAACTAAAACTTATTCTATTTACCTACGAGTATTAATATCTAATTAAACTAAGGCGCTTTGGTGAAAAAATAACAATCTTTAGAATAACAAACAAAAAAAAAAACAAAATGTGTGCAATTCACACGTAGTAGAAGTGAAACCTTCCAAAATTAAAATACAATTATCCTAAACGTCTTAGGTATATGTAAAATTTTGTCATTAGTAAATAATTGTAAGGTAGCGCCCTCTGTGAATTGATATTTTAATTTCACGTATAATCCTAAATTAAAATTCACTACAAGAGCTTTCATACACACGTTAGTATTAAAAAATCTCACAGATGGCGCTGTATTAAATAGTATGTATATTTCTGTCTCATTCTTTGCTGGCTTCATCCTACACATTTTTGTATTTGTGTCTCTTACCTGTCGTTTTTTCCGTTGCATCCGGTTTGAAATTACAACGATTCTAAAGAAGTTTTCACTTCAAACACAATACTGAACAGTATTGTCTTTACATATTTATCTATTTATGTGGCAATTTACATTTTACGGACATCCTTGTAAGCAATTGTAAAACTAAAGCTATCCCTTTCGTTCATCCGTACTTTTGATACCTCTTTATTAACTCACTAGCGGCCCGCTACGGCTCCGCTCGGGTCTTTAACAAAAATTTCAACGATATTTGACGTTGTTTTATTTTTGAATAAAAGAACTCTTATTGTAGCATAACTATAATGCTGTCGCGACACTTTTTGTAAATAATAAAGTGTTCTACAAAGCCGTATTATTATTTTATTTTATCATCAATAGTTTTCGAAGGACACGCGATGTAAAGAATATTGAGAATATTGTAGGTAATTTTTTTACACCTTGGGTTACATTATTCTAGTTTTAGTAAGGATCCCTAAATTTTTTTCAAAAAAGATTGTAGCCTGTGTCACTCCGGAACAGTGTAGCTTCCAAACAGTGAAAGAATTTTTCAAATCGTTTCATTAGTTTCGGAGCCTATTCGATACAAACAAACAAACAAATCTTTCCTCTTTATAATATTAGTATGTAGACAACAGGGTTGGCCATAGTTCGAAAGGAACATAATTTATTTATATTATCTTTGACTCGTTTTCCTTTCGACATTAAGATTTGGGTACGGAAACTTAATAAGCAGCCCTATTAAGTCGTCGAGAGTAAAACCGATATGAGCGTTGTAGTGAAATTGATGTACAGTCATTAACCGAAACATTATTCAACAAATCATTCTCCATTTCGCGCGCACAACCGATTATTATGTGATGCGCTATTATGTGTTACGTGAGAATCGATAATAACCGTCTTTCGATTTTAATTTATATGGTAATTCGTGTTGTTGGAAACGGTACGGGTTTTCTAATTGTGTATTTGTTGAATAATTAGTTGGTTGTTGTGATATTTAGCTTCTTTCTACCGTTGAAACAGTTCATGTAAGGCTGGAACAATCATGAATGATACTATAAGTTTGTAAGTTTTACTGGTGGTAGGAGCTCTTTGTATACTAACGGTTTTGGAGAGTGCTCTGACGAATTGTTCGAGATGATACCGACATCTCGTTTTTACTATCGTACCGCCCGCCACCGGAGTAGAGTTCATCCATACTACCTGGAGCCACTGCGGTCATCCACAGTGCGATTCCAGAGGTCTTTCTTGCTACGTACCATCCGGCTATGGAATGAGCTCCCCTCCACGGTGTTTCCCGAGCGCTTTGACATGTCCTTCTTCAAACGAGGCTTGTAGAGAATATTAAGCGGTAGGCAGCGGCTTGGCTCTGCCCCTGGCATTGCTGAAGTCCATGGGCGACGGTAACTACTCACCATCAGGTGGGCTGTGTGTTCGTCTGCCTACAAGGACAATAAAAAAATATTAAAAAAATACTAAGGGTCTAATGCAAGGGTTATTGGATCTGATGGATCCGTAAGGACGTGGTTCTCGCATCGATGCGACTGTGGTGTTGTTAGAATCCCGTAATCAGGTACAAATTTTTCTAATAACATACGTATGTAGGGTATACTCTTGAATGACTTTCAAATTGAAGGACTAGATCGTCGTGTAAAAACATAACAAATTCGCAAAAAGAGATGTTCACGTTGTGAAGGCCATCTCATTCCCCATGTAATCCCGTCCAATCACTACATAGTATAAAACAAAGTCGCTTTCTCTGTCCCTATATCTGTCTGTCCCTATGTATGCTTAAATCCTTAAAACTACGCAACGGATTTTGATGCGGTTTTTTTTAATAGATAGAGTGATTGAAGAGGTAGGTTTATATGCATAATAACATCCATTAAATAGTGGAGAAATCAATAATAAATTACAATTTCCGAAGCGAAACGAGGGCGGGACGCTAGTTAATAAATAAAAAAGACTCGTAATAAATTTTGTCGTATGCGTTTAATTTCAGTGATCCCGCAAACCTGCAAGCATCGCGGCGCGAGATACCCGTGCGGGCTGAGCATATCCTGCGTGCTCGGAGGCGGGAAGCCGCTGGACCTGTGCTCCGGCGGGATGATCTGGGCGTGCTGCGTCGATCGAGACACAACCGAACGACCCACGGAAACAGCACCGGTCGTGCACAACGCCAGTGAGTCTATTTATCTCTCCACAATAATAATGAAACCATTAAACAAAAATCAATTAAATCAAATAGCATTTACAGAGGTGTAATTCATTAGCTAAATAGACTGACAAATCTTCGTGGTCTTTTACCATTGCATCCAATATATATTAATTACTAGCTGACCGGGCAGACTTCGTAGTGCCTCAATCGATAAATAATAAACTTAAAACAAACAAAAGGAATCCGTCCGACGGGGGACACATTAAAGGAAAAACAAAATTGTTTTTTTTTTTTTTAATTCCGAGTATTTTCATATTTATCTACCTTTTTAAACCTACTCTTTAAACCAGATCGGTCCAGCCGTTCTCGAGTTTTAGCGAGACTAACGAACAGCAATTCATTTTTATATATATAGATAGATAGATTAAAGACCAAAACGCAGGTCGTAAATGTTCAAATGATTCGATGTTGCTATTAAAGCGCAAATGTTAACATTCCATCAAAGTTCAATTTAAAATTGAAAAAAATTAATAACACGCTGACCTAAATTTTGCCACAGTGATGTCACAGTGTGAATGCATAAAAATACATTTTTTTTCTCATAGAAATTGGACGATGAAGATAAAAAAGAATAAGCGCTTCAATATAATGCCAGATATAAAATAGAATTTAATTATTTATTAACATTCATAAGAAAATCTTCACTATTTTACTACATATAATTTCTAAACCCGAGTAACCCCAAGACGTTCTCAAACTACGCTTTGAAAGTTTAAATGTCAGTTTTTTGTCCGTGAGCATTGCCGTAGCCTTAGGGGCTTTTCTAAGTACGCCCGGTTTGATAGCTGACCCCACGAAGCTTAACCTGGGACTTTCTAACACTAGCCCTAGCAAGAGCTTCGCTGAATCTACCGCCGGTAATTTTTTGTATCGTCCGCATTTAATAATTCCGTTTTGATAAAACCGGAAAGGTGTTCTAACTAAAAATGATTATGCTAAATAATTTCTTCAACACGCGTTCTAAATAAAATTAATTATGTTCTAAATAGATTCGCGATTTTATTTTTTTATTGCTAGATGGGTGGACGAGCTCACAGCCCACCTGGTGTTAAGTGGTTACTGGAGCCCATAGACATCTACGACGTAAATGCACCACCCACCTTGAGATATAAGTTCTAAGGTCTCAAGTATAGTTACAACGGCTGCCCCACCCTTCAAACCGAAACGCATTACTGCTTCACGGCAGAAATAGGCAGGGCGGTGGTACCTACCCGCGCGGACTCACAAGAGGTCCTACCACCGTAGTAAATATGTGTTAACTACTCGAAAGTATTTAGAACAATTGGCGCCTGTCTGCGGGATTCGAACATCGGTAGAGTTGCAAGAGTTTTATTAAAATATTTATTCGTTTAGTTGCACCAACAAAGTGATCATCAATACAAAACATTGACAGATTGACAATAAGTGCCATGACAGATGTCACCTAAATTATAGGTGCAATCGACAGTGCAAAAGTTGACAATATCGATATAGAAAAGTAAGAATCTATACTAATATATAAATCTACAGTGGTTTTTACGGATGTTCCGTTATAACTACTGAACCATGCATCAGATTGACTTGGAGCTTGGTATCCATGTAGAAAATGCATGTACTTAATGGATAGGCTAATATTTATATGAGTGTTGGACTCCCTACACCAGTTGCGGGGGCGTTAATGATGAGAATCTTTGTGGAGGTGAGAAATAATAATGCTAATTTTAAATGCGAAGCGGAGGGTCACAGCTAGTAATTGAATAAAAATACAATGAATAATTATAATTTTTACAACCACCCAAGTAGTGAGTTCATGAGTGCTAAAGTCTGTTCCATTGATTCTGATTCAAGACCAATACCTGTTCATCATTATGGATTACCATTCAGTAGATTTGGATATTGGGTTGAGTAAATTTCAGGTCACTGAACTTTCTCCGGGGTAAATATAACGTGTATATCAATTTCATATTGTTATATTAGATAAAGTCTACTTTTATCAATTCGAAATGCTCTTCTCAAAAATTGATATTACAATGAACGCCTCTGTAGATGCTATTGATATATTAATCTAAACACGCAATTTTATTAGAGAAATAATCTTAGATAAGTAGGTTAATTTTAAATTTGCATTACACTTCGCTTTGATGTTTCGATTGCCCATCCCACCAATTTGATGTTTGATGTTTGTCAATAATCAAATAATCAAATCCCACTAATCTGATGTTTGACGTTTGTCAATAATCAAATACCACTAATTTGATGTTTGACGTTTGTCAATATATTATTCTGTTATTAAAGCATCGGCGTTCTTTTGCTGTGTTGTAGTATTTAAGAAAGATTTAACTTGCACAAAAATATCTTATACCTTTAAACGAGCAATTCTTGTATATTAATATATATATATAATCTGAATCTCGGAAATGGCTCCAACGATTTTCATAAAATTTAGTATACAGGGCATTTCGGGGGCGATAAATCGATCTAGCTACGATTTATTTTCAGATAATGTTGTTTTATTTGTGTTTTCAATAATCAACTCTTCCCGACATCTATTGGCGAATAATAAAACTATTTTTCTTAATTGAGGGCAACTAGCCGCTTTACAGAGACACAACAAGATGGCGTTATTAAAAATATGCAAAGCTCTTTCATCGTCTAGTTGTTTTTAAAGTGATATAATAATTACCAGCGGTTGCTATTCGACAGGCAGATAGCTATTTCGTTGTGTGACTAACGATTCTTGTAACTAAATGCGTGTACGTGATAATCGTCAAATAGTTTTGGACGTTTCATGCCAAATGTATGAAGTAGACCGTACTATATATCTTTTGTTTGAACTCCAGCTACGTTGCACTGAGATTATTACGAAATATCATATTATTCTAATAACAATCAGTCTTAAAAACACTACATAGAGGGAGCAGCGAAAATTTAATATATTTAAAGTTAGAGAACAGGATACACAATTTGCGATACTGGCGCCTCACGGATAACGCTATCCCTGTCCCTACATTGTACAGCTAGCAGATTACACAAGTAACAATTAAAACTAGTGGTCGTCCAGTGGTCAAAATTCGACCATATTTAGTTTAAATTATAAATTTGAACATTATTAAGGTTCTATAGTCAAAACCTATACATCTATAAATCACAAATTTCGATAAGGATACACTATAGACAAATAATATTATGGACAAACAATACTAATGTGTTCTCAATTAGACCACAGACTTTAACAATAAACGAAAGAGTATATAGAGTTTTCTTATTGATTTAATGTATTTTTATGCATAATTTCTAAAAAAACCTACCATGTATTTGACACACACACACACATACTTTTTTAATTGTCAAATATTTGTTATTTCTTAAAGTCAAATTGAGAATAAGCTAATATTGTTTATATTTCTTGGCGAAATCTGTGACTATAGAAATATAAGCTTTTGACAATAGAACAATAATAACTTATAATTTCAATTAATTATAGTCTAAGTTTGACTACTGCGGGACCACTACTTTTCATAAAAAGCTGTACAAGGTTTTGGCTTCACGTATTAATATATAGATAATATATGTAGTTTTCTTCTCCTTGCATCGATAATCCTCAACGCTGAGGGTCGAGGCCTCCTCTAATAACTTTCTCCTGGATCATCCTGCCTGTCCTCGACTGTGTGAACGTGGAGCGTTGAGAGTGGAGCATATCTGGTCCGACCAGAGCATTAGACTTCTGCCTCTGGTCCTTCTTCCGCCGGTCTGTTACCGGCAGCTTCTCTAAATTGTCACCTCTCTTTCTGGCAAAACAAAAATGTAGTTTAATGACTGAAAAAACATGCTTAAAAGCAAACCGAATTAATAACTATTTTCATATTTTTTTATCCTGTTGATAGCGTTCAGAAAATGATAGCGAAATTACAAAATTATTGTATCATCATCGGACCGAATGGTAAATAGTTGACGTCGTCCAAAACACGTCATTTCGGATTCTCCCGATCCACTAACGGTGCTTTTAGCCAAGCACCGGTCATCGTTCTTGTCGAACCCGTCGGCGTCGCTTGCGACGAGGGGCTCGGCGAGTAAATTAACCCACAGACACAGCCTACTTGAGTTTCTCGCCGGATCTTCTCAGTGATTCTCGTTTCCGATCTGGCGGTAGATTCTGTAAAGCACTGCTCTTGCTAGAGCTTAGTGTTAGCAACGACGTCAAGTTTGAGCCCCGTAAGCTCACCTACTAGTTCGATGAATCTAGAATTACTACCCCTCGAGGTTACGAGAATAGGTAGAAAATGTCCTTCTTCAAATGAGGCTTGTGGAGAGTATTAAGCGGTGGGCAGCGGCTTGGCTCTGCCCCTGGCATTGCTGAAGTCCATGGGCGACGGTAACCACTCACCATCAAGTGGGCCGTATGCTCGTCTGCCTACAAGGGCAATAAAAAAATACCCTCAGAGATCTGTGAGCAAATTTTCACGTCAATCTTGAAGTCGGTGGAAATTATTTAGTTAGCTAATAAAAGCGTGTTACATTAAACGCGTAATACAAATAATGATTCAATTCACTTCCTAATTATCTCGTGCATTTCTTCTTAATTTCGAAATCTTATGAACGACTAGTGACCTGCCCTCGCTTCGCTTCGGAAACATTAAATATTATTATTGCTAGCTGAGTCCCGCCGACATTATTTATTACATTAATTACTACTATTATTAGTACTATATACTACTACTACTATGACACCGCGGGGCGAAGCTAGTCTAGAAAAAGTAGCCTAAGTTACTCATTATATCATCAGCTACCTATCAGTAAAAGTCTCGTCAAAATCGGTCCAGCAGATCAGCCGGAACAAACAGACAGAAAAAAATAGTAAAAATATTATTTTTTCGTATATACCGTATATATATTCTTAAGCATGTAGTAAAAAGCGGTTACTTCAATATTACAAACATACACTCCAGTTTTATTTATATGTATAGATTATTTCGCAAGTACTATTG